AATGTATAAGTCTGTTATTTTTATTTCAAACAGAACTACAACCAAAACATAAACCACTAACTGAATAGATACAGACCATTCCTTCTGTTTTTGCAATTACAGTAATATTATAGCAAGTACTTGTGAATTTATTATTCATTATCTTGTTTAATTTTTTAGAGAATTTGTGAAAACTAAGTATATAATTGAAATATACTGACAACAGTAAATGGCATCAAGGTGGTGCTCATCTGTCTTGTGACTATCACCAAACCTTCAGTTGACAGATAACACAGTTTGGATCATTTATGACACAACCTGAAGGTATGTTCTCTTTGTAGCTTCAGTGTATGCTATGGAGGAAAGCTAAGTGCCTAGAATAGCATTTTTTCATTTTCATTACTACCAAGATTATGTATATATACAAACATACACACACATACATATAACATACACATCCAATAGTGAAGAGGGACATATGCATGTACCTAAAGAGACAGATGATCAAAATCGATGTGAACATTAATTTCAAATGAAAATTTTTATTTTATTATCTTATTTTTGTTTATTTTGTTATGTTCTACTTTATTATCTTAACTTTTTATTTACTTTTATTTTTATTTATTTATTTGTATTTTTCCTTTCAAAAATTTACACTTCCTCCCCTCCTCCTATTCCCCTTCCCCTCCCTCCACTCACCCTCTTCCTTCCCTCTCCCTCCTTAAGAGAGGGCAGGAAACCCTACCCTGAGGGAAGTCCAAGTCCCCCCCGCCATCCAGGCCTAGGAAGCTGTGCAGCCAAATAGACTAGGGTACCAAAACGCCAGTACATGCAGTAGAAGCACGCCCCAGTGCCTCTATCAATGGCTTCTCGGTCAGCCTCCATTGTCAGCCTCATTCAGAGAGTCCAGTTTAATCACATGCTCATTTACTCCTGGTCCAGCTGGATTTGGTGAGTTCCCATTAGAACAGGCACACTGTTTCAATGGGCGGACCAACCCCTCGCGGTCCTGACTTCCTTGTTCATCTTCTCCCTCCTTCTGCTCTTTAACTGAACCTTGGGAGCTCAGTCCGTTGTTCTGATGAGGGTCTCTGTCTCTATCTACATCCGTCGCCTGACGAAGATTCTATGGTGATATTCGAGATAATCATAGGTGTGATAGTGGGGCAAGGACAGTTCAGACACCCTTTCCTCTGCTGCCCAAGGACCTAGCCTGGGACATCCCCGTGGACACCTGGGATCCCCTCTAGAGTCAAGTCTCTTGCCACCCCTAAAATAACTCCCTTAATGTAGATATCTTCTTCCCTGCTCTTATATCTGTCCTTCCTCCATCTCCACCCTCCCACTCCCCCAAGCTCTCCTCAGTCTTTCCCTTCTCCCTTCTCTCCCCCCTCTTCTCTTCCCCCACCTTCACCCCACCTCTATCCCAACCCCCATGCTCCCAACTTTTGCACAGTAATCTTATTTTGAGAGTCTTATGTATGACAGCCTGGACTTGCTGTGTCACAAAGAACAATCTGGAATTTCTGATCCTTTTGTCACCATGTCCTAAATACTGAGATTACAGACATACATTGGCATTTGACTGGTTTACATAGTACCATGCATGGAAACCAGAGTTTCACATATGATAGTGAAAACAATCTACCAACTGAAATAGATTTAAGGCCTCAATTTTACTCCTTTTCTCCCCACCCACACTCAATGGTTCATTTTGCTATCTTAGAGCAATGGTAAATATATTTTAAAATAACCTGTTCATCTTACTTATCATGTAGTACTTCTAAAAGGAAAAAAAAAACACTTTAAGCCTATGATAAGTAATGTCTTAAACACAGCATGTACTTAGTAGCCACACATGGCCCTCAGCAGAAAATTAATTAAAACAGCAGGCTCTCACTGTCAGTTCAATTGAGGGTGTAGATTTAAGCACCTATTAGTGACAGGTAATGTGCCAACCTGCTCTTGTGAAAACCACCAACACAAAGTAAATATTTACCATAGGAAATGTGTTGAAATGGCAGTAGGGAACTGGATCTATGAGATGGCAAAAATAACTAGGAGTTAGTTCAATGAATGGGTCATGGTTTTATAATAAGAAAAGAGATTTGCCAACCCAGAGAAGGCTTGCAGCAGACAACAAACAAATAAACAAATAGAACCTGGGGATCGTATAGAGATACAGAAGTCCCCCAACAATTCATTCTTCAGGTATCAAATACTCCTTGGGGATCTAAACATGCCTAGCTGATTTTTAGGCCCCTGAGATGAACTTTAGCCAATGAAGCAGACAGAAATCTCTGCTTGATAAAGCACGCAGTCTAATGGGAGATGATTTTTTAAACTAAATGTGCCAAATGTCAGATGTTGTTAAATCACTTAGAGGCAAAGGATAGCAGTGCGGAATTCCATGGCATGGTAAAGCAGGGCTTACAATTTACAAGAGGCATCCAGGAGGCCCTCATTTAAAGAAGCCTGGCTACACAAAGACAGTGAGCATAAAGGTATCAGGCTGTGGGATAGCAGGTGAAAAAGACACTTTGGTGAGGGCAATTTTGTGTAACCATTTTAGAAGCGTAGTAGCTTATTGACCTTCTAGAAGAGTCGTTGTTGTGTAAATTTTAGTTACCAAAGAAAATAAAAGGTAAGAATCTCTTACCAGACGTACGTTAAGTTAAAAAAAGTCTACATTTATATTCTAAATGGTATTTATTAAATATGAATGGATGATAAACTTTGTAAAGCAAATTATTTCTCTGTGCCTTTAAAATAATATTTAAATATTTAAAATAAAGTGTGGATACTCAAAATACAAAAACCTCTATTACATAGGTATTTCTATATAAATTGACCTTTTCAGATTTTAAGTTTTAATAGATAAAAAATTAACTTCTAAATAGGGTTAATTTTAAAAATAATTTTTGAAATGATCAAAATTGTCTTCTATATCAAATTATTTTAAGTTGTAAAATTAATTAATCAGTTATTTATTTTATAAAATAAATACTTAGATGAATGAGTATAATCTGAGATTATATACTATAGATCAAGGAGAAAAAACACATTCTTTTCCAAGAATATTTTATTTATGAAAGTGCCAGCAAATTAATTATATGTTATTTGTGCACTGCCAGGTATTCTTAACCGGTTATGTGTATAATACTAGTCTGTAAGCATTTCAAAGAATGGACTGTGAGAGATATGGGTCTATTTTCATTCTTCTACAGGTTGACATCCAGTTGTGCCAGCACCATTTGTTGAAGATGCTTTCTTTCTTCCATTGTATACTTTTAGCTCCTTTATCGAAAATGAGGTGTTCATAGGTTTGTGGGATAAAATCCGGGTCTTCTATACGATTCCATTGGTCGACTTCTCTGTTTTTATGCCAGTACCACACTGTTTTCATTACTGTAGCTCTGTAATAGAGTTTGAAGTCAGGGATGGTAATGCCTCCAGAAGATCCTTTATTGTATAGGATTGTTTTGGCTATCCTGGGTTTTTTGTTTTTCCATATAAAGTTGATTATTGTCTTCTCGAGATCTGTGAAGAATTTTGATGGGATCTTGATGGGGATTGCATTGAATCTATAAATTGCCTTAGGTAGAATTGCCATTTTTACTATGTTGATCCTCCCAATCCAAGAGCAAGGGAGGTCCATCCATTTTTTGGTATCCTCTTCAATATCTTTCTTCAATGCCTTAAAGTTCTTGTCAAATAGATCTTTCACTTCCTTGGTTAGATTTACCCCAAGATATTTTATGCTGTTTGTGGCTACCGTGACTGGACTCTCTGAACATGGCGAACAATGAGGGCTGATGAGACACCAAGGACAATGGCAGGGGGTTTTGATCCTACTTAATGTGCTGGCTTTGTGGGAGCCTAGCCAGTTTGGATGTTCACCTTCCTAGATATGGACGGAGGGGGGAGGACCTAGGACTTAACACAGGGCAGGGAACCCGGATTGCTCTGTGGACTGGAGAGGGAGGGGGAGAGGAGTGGGGGGAGGGGGAGAAGGGTGGGAGGAGGGGGAGAAGGGTGGGAGGAGGGGAAGGGAAATGGAAGGCTGGGAGGAGGTGGAAACTTGTTTTTTGTTTATGTTTTTTTTCTTCTTTTCGCAATAAAAAAAATTAAAAAAAAAAAGAATGGACTGCTGCTGGTATGTGCTTCCTGTTGAAACTGACAGTGATATGAGATGTGTGTGTGTGCGTGTGTTCCTAAGGACTGACTAGAAGGTTTCACACATGCCAAGGAGCATGCACATTGTTGACCATGAGCTACAATCAACCTTTTTTTGTTGTTGTCATTTTTCACTTGAAGACTAGGTTTTTTCTCAATTGCCAGGTTTGCCCTTGAACTACTTCTGTAGCCTAGATAGGCCTTGGATTTTCAGTCCTCTTGTGTTAACCCCTAGGAGCTGGGATTAGAGACTTGCTTTAGCAGATTTACCATTTAGAATTAAGAATTTTATTACTGTGAATTTCTCAATTATTTACCAAAAATATTGTAAAGTTAAACCTTCAAAAACAATACAGTTTTATTATAGACAATAGAATACTTAACCGCTCCCATAATTGTTGAAGATGTGCTTTAGTCAAAAATTTAAGTCTTAAAATATTCCAAGTCTGAGGGTAAATGAATTGGAGATGCATTTTGAACTGTGTGCCTTAATATTATTCAATACTATCTCTCCAAAATACACAAAACCATCTCTTTTATGGCCAAGTATGGGTATCCTTATATATATTACCCAGTATTGTGTGTGGATGTGAAAATGGTTGTGTACACATTTGCATGAGGATGTGTTCTTTCCAAATTAGCTTAGCTAATTTTTTAACATTATAATTGTTCTAATAATTGAATAGTTAATTTTATTTATCAATATTAACATTTATGCTGACTTTTCTGTGCATGTGTGAAATTGAATTCTGAGATACAAAGTATGTTTGATTTATAACATGTGAAAAAACAGAAGGACTTTGGTGATAATAGCTAAAAAGAAATTGTTTTTCCTTTCTACACAGCTTGCAGACCAGGGTTCTATAAAGCATTTGCTGGGAACACAAAGTGTTCCAAATGCCCTCCACACAGCTCAACCTACGTGGAAGCAACGTCCGTCTGTCAGTGTGAAAAAGGTTATTTCAGGGCAGAAAAAGACCCACCTTCTATGGCATGTACTAGTAAGTCTACACATTTCATTTTAGAAAATTCTGTTTTTAATCTTGTTGTCTGTATTTTAAACTTTTAAATATTAGTAAATGTGCAACATCCTGCACTAGTAAAGGTGTCTTGGGTAAGAGGGAAAAGTTCCCCTCATCATAGTCCCTCTTCAAATATTTGTTAAAAGTTGGAAATGTTTCCTTTTCAAAACTACGACAGATCCTTGGTATCCAAATACTGACCTACTTTGAGGTATTGCAAATTTTCCCAAGCAGAAACTTGTCTTGAAGAAATTAAGAACAGAAAAGTAAAACTCCTGCATTTTCTTTAACCAAAGTAAGACATATTGTTAGAGAAATATGAAATTTGTCACTTGAAAGAGAGAGTCCAGAGGATAATTCATAATTGATTCTTTGTGACTAACCTACAGACAAACTTGGGTTTCCTTGATCATTGACTTTAAAGAAGGGCATTTTTGAATTTGTACATATTCCCCCTCCCCCCCCACCTCTCTCTTTAGCAGCAAGATATTCTGATTAAATTTTAAAGTCATTTTAATGAATGTATGCAGAATTTTAAATTATTTGTTTCCTATTATTTAAGAATTGTGTAGCGTCTATACATTTTAAGAAGTGAAAATAATAATATACCACTAAAATAGAAATGTAATGCCATTTTTAGTTTTAATATCTTTTGGGAATTATAAACAAGATATTACAGATGAAAGTTTACCCTTTAGGATGATGAATAGGTGCTGAAATGTTTAATTCAAAATTATATAAGCCATAGGAAAATGATGATAATATCTCATTTTTAGGTTTTCCTACATTTAAACCATCTCTTTTAAAAATTCATTATATTCATTCTTTGAGAATTTGATACATAAATATAATAGAATACTACCATATTCTCCAAAAGGACTATACATTTCCCGAACTTCCCTAAATGCTCTACAACCAACTTAATATTATCATTTTCTCTTCTTTTCTTCATTCCTTCCTTCCTTTCTTCTTTTCCTTATCTTGACAACCCACTATGTTCAATTATTCTTGCTTACATGTACTTGGTTTAGGTCTCATCCATTGGAAAGCTGGACAATTACCTATGGCCACAAACTCAAAGACAAACCAATCTTGTTTGGTGCAATGGGGTTTGTGATTTTGGCAGTATATAAATCCTTTGTGTCAACTGTTATTTATTTTCTTTCTGAATGTGAATATAATATATTGAAATTGTATCATTAGAGTGCTTCTAGCTCAGTTTTTCTCTTCAATAATGCAAATATTTGGGTCTACTATTCATGTTGAATTAATTATTATATTTAGATTTATGATACATATGCTCATGTGTTCAATTTGCCTCCTGCCACTTAAAGTAACTATATCAGGCAAATTTATGAAAGATCCTCATTTCCACTTGCATTGGAAACATCTTTGTCCTGGTATTCACTTCACTTGATTCTCCTGCATACTTATTCTGGAAGCTATATGTGGCTTGTCCTAATATCCTGGTGCATTGAAGTTACCATGACCAAGAAACTCAGGGAAGGAATGGATTTCTTTCAACTTGTTAGGTTCATTGAGTGAACTTGTTAGCTTCACTGAGTGAAGTCAAGGCAGGAGTTCAAACTATCCTTTTAAGCAAAAACCGTGGAGTAGTGCTGTTTGCTGCCTTTCTCCTGTGTCCATGCTTAGTCAGCTTCCTTTAAAGGCTCAGGATCACTTTACAGAGAATGGTTCCATTCATAGTAAGCTGGATTTTCCTATGCCAATTAACAGTCAAAATAATCCTCTATCGACATGCTCAAAGGACAAGGTGAACTAAAAAATTCCTCAGGTGAGGTGTTCTTAGAGATGACTCTAGGCTGTGTCAAGTTGACAAAGTTAACTAGGGCATGACTTTCGGTCTGAAACATTGGAAATTACCATTTTGCACTCCTAATCTACTATTTTATGTTATGACACTGGTAGTTTTTTTTTTATTCCTCTGTTATATGTTGACTTTATTCATGTTTGACTGCCTGTCAATACAACCTTACTCTCTCTCCCATGTTTAGAACTGCCATCTGTAGGTGGATAGTGTTGAATATTTTGTATAGTCTCTGTCTTGTGTTCTGAGGACCAAAGTCGTCTAGCCTGAGGGTTAAGGGGTTAAGAAAACTGACCACCAGTAAACCCCACAGAGACCTCCCTACACTGACTGCATATATCCTGCTGACTTTGCAAATGTCCTGATCCTCTGACCGCATATACTATACTGCCTTTGCAAACTTCCTGGATTTCAAAGATGCCAAGTTCATTTCCTTTCTTAGTAACAGAATTTCCACCATTAGTAGCATCTCTCCTTTAGACTTCTTAGGGATGCTTACATTCCACTTTTGCAGGACTGAGTGTCAGTTCTTTTTTCTTTTCAGGTTTCAACTACAAAGTCAGCTTTAATTTTTAATTTACTTTACTTCTTTAAACACATTTTCTAAGGTGTTGAGTCTGAATCAGTAAGATATCATTCATATAAAGTAAATAATAGATTGAAGAACCTGTAAATTATTTCTAATTTTTTACAAAATATTGACATAAGGTAGGACTACTTAGCATCTTGAGTGGAAGAATTTTTCACTGGTAACTGAATTGCCTGGGAATTATTAAAAGTAGGCACTGTTTTTTTTTTTATTGAAAAAATAATTCCGCCTCCTCCCAGCCTCCCATTTCCTTCCCCCTCCTCCCACTCCTCTCTCCCTCCTCACACTCCTCTCCCCCTCCCTCTCCAGTCTGAAGAGCAGTCAGCGTTCCCTGCCCTGTGGTAAGTTGGAAGTCCTCCCCCCTCCATCCTGGTCTAGGAAGGTGAACATCCAAACTGGCTAGGCTCCCACAAAGCCAGAACATGAAGTAGGATCAAAACCCAGTGCCATTGTCCTTGGCTTCTCAGCAGCCCTCATTGTCCGCCATATTCAGAGAGATTCCAGTTTTATCCCATGCTTTTTCAGTCACAGTCCAGCTGGCCTTGGTGAGCTCTCAATAGATCATCCCCACTGTCTCCATGGGTGGGTGCACCCCTTTTGGTCCTGACTTCTTTGCTCATGTTCTCCCTCCTTCTGCTCCTCATTGGGACCTTGGGAGCTCAGTCCAGTCCTCCAGTGTGGGTCTCTGTCTCTATCACTAGATGAAGGTTCTATGGTGATATGCAAGATATTCATCAGTATGGCTATAGGATAGGGTCATTTCAGGTTCCCTATCCTCAGCTGCCCAAGGAACTAACTGGGGACATCGCCCTGAGCACCTGGGAGCCCCTCTCGGTCCAAGTCTCTTGCCAACCCTAAGATGGCTCCCTTAATTAAGATATGTGCTTCCCTGCTCCCCTATCCAACCTTCCTTTATCCCAATCATCCCGTTTCCCCAAGTTCCCCCATCCTCCCCTTCTCACTTTTCTCTCCCCATCTCCCCTTAACCCCCTCCCTGACCAGTCTTTCATAAATGTCACCTGTCCTACTTAACCTTTTTTTGTCATCACATATTATGTTTTATGCACTATTTCATTCTTTAAAATCCTTGATTTATTTCTCCACCTTCTTCACTATTTACTGTCATTTTATCACACAAGACTACAAGAGTCATGGGACCAATGATGCTTTTTGCAGACTGCAACCTCACAGCTCAGAATAGTACCTGGCATACAGAAGGACCTTAATATTTGATGAACAGAGGAACTAATCAGTCCAAGCTTAACTTGCCAGACCCAGTTTTTTTACTCCTGACCTTCACTTCCTCATCCATCCTTGCTCTGTTTTCCTTACCTTGATGAACCTTCATTTATCCATGCTTTCAAGACAAGAGCCCTAATTGCACTTTAAACCAAGAACATCCAAGGTCGACACTCATCTTTCTCCCTCCAATGTTAATTGTATCAAGATGTTTGAAACAGTCCGACTATACATTATTAAATTAAATTATTGAAATAATTTTCAAACAACTGTTAGTTAAAGGTAGTAAAAAGAAACAAGTGAAATATGAAATGTTTTCTCTGATATATATTTCATGGGGGATCTGTAGAGACTACCCCATGGCATCATTAAAACAGTATAACTCTATGATCCTAGCACTTTTACTTTGTTTTTTCTCATGACTTTAAATCATCAGGATGTTGCTTCTTTAGAGCAACTAAACAGGTGCTGCAGGATTTACCCATTTAATTTACATTGTGTACTTATAAAGGATTCAACTGAATGCAAAGCACGCCTGTGCACACCTCTACAGCACATCAGTAAATATACTGTTTGTATTGTGATTGCCTGAACATGTAATCAAATACTCTACTAGTAAAACAGTTTCTGGCAACTTCATTCTTAATACACAAGAAAATATCATGTCTTTGTATTTGATATACAATGACAGTGATTGGGAAGGAAGCATAAAACTCCAGTTTACTTTTTCTATAAAGGGAACACTGTGAAATATGGTTTCATTATTGCTAGAATAATTGGCCACTTCAGAGAGTCATTATTCTCTCGTTCTTATTTTGAGCAGAATAAATGCTTCTTGCAGTACAACAGGTGGATTCTTTCCTTTCAGCTGCTCTAACCAGGACCTACATTTCCTGGATGAGTGCAGGGGCCTCTCAATCAGACCCCTCCGCTCTGCTTGCCTACTCCTTTCTAAGCCTTCTTTTTATTGTTTCCTAATACTCTTTCCCAGAAACTCAAGTTCTTGGGTCTTGACTGTTCACATCACAAAATAAAGCACAAAAGCAAAGGTGATGGTTGAGGTGACTTTCTCTAAACAATGTTGCAGCCACAATTTTGCAAAAGTAGGAAAGGAAGAATGAAACCAAAACTTTTTTATTATCTCTAGTAGGCTTCATCTTATACTGTATCTGTTTTGTTATACAATGCATCTCTAAATAAGTACTAAGGATATTGAAATACTATCATTTCAGAAATTAACGTGGCCCTATGCTAAGCAATAGGTACCTGCATTAACCAATCCCAGCTTCTCCAGCAAACAAGATGTCATCTGAGTTTCACCGA